TATGCCATTTACTGAGTCAAGTCTATTAACTCAGGAGAAAGGAGCTGGTTTGGGAAATGGGATTGAGGAGAAGCAGTGAGTTCAGGTTTGCTCATGTTGAGTTTGAGTTGGGACATCCAGGTCAAGAAATCTGATAGGCCATTGGCTATAAGGATCTGGAACACTCAGAGGAGAAAACTGGCTGGAGGGTCAGATTTGAGAGGCATTAGCACATTGATAAGTTTCATTTAGGAGAAGGAGCACACACTGTGGATCCTAGGACCCAAGAGAACCAGGACACCATCCCTAGGGAAGGGAGTATTGCTCTCACAGATGAGGACTTCCAGCACATGTGCTCCTCCATTCCCAGACACAGAGTTTTGCCCCTAAGAGGGTATCTCAATGGTATCTGTGTATCTCTCACCTAAACTTAAAGGAAGGGGAATCAAGTACCCAAGTACCCTATCCTAACTGCTCCATTTTACTATAAATGATACTAAGGGGGAAAGGAAACTGATATTTTGTTCTATGTGCCAGGTGTTTTACTTTCATTAATTCACTAAAATGCTCACAATAATCCTATCCAAGAGCTATTATTATATCCAAGCCCTTGAAACTCAGAATACATAAGTGACTTGCCCAAAGATATAGCCTACATGATAATAAGGACATCTGATTCCAGCTCTACATAACAGCACTGCACTGCCTCTCCATCTCCTAGAATACAGCCTTACGAAGACCTGTGCACACTCCCTCCCTTTCCTGCTTTGTAAAGATGGCTTGCCTCTGTGGTTTAATGCTTTGCTCTCCATTAAAATGCAGCCACCCCCCCCCCACACCGAAAAGTAAAACTCAAAGTTATTGGTCATTTTTGCTTCAGTGGAAATGACTTTTGAGTTCTTACATACAAATTTTAATTTTATGGGAAAAGAATACTGGAACCTGGAGAAGGAGATATGAAAATAGAAAGGGGCCAAGTTCTGAAAAGTCAGCCCCCTCCATCAGTTTCACAGTTCTTTCTAGTCAGGAGCATGTGCTTTTAAGATGCTTACATGCTATTTCTGTATGTGCCTACTACTTTATAGACAATCCCATTTCTGGGTCTGTTACCCCACTTGTCTGGGTCTGATCAAAGATGACCTTAAACTTCACACTTATCCCAACCCACTGTGGTCAGCAGGAAGCAGCCACCTTGGCCTACAGTCGTGGACCTGTAGTCCCTGGCCTTAGCCACAAGTCCCAATCCATTCCCTTGAGATTCAGACCTTGCTGTACACATTAAAAATCCTGAGCAGACGGAGGTAGGAAAGCTTGTTGGAAATACTTGGAGAAGTCTCTTCTGCCCTGTCTGGGTCTATTTGCCAAAACAAATTACATGTATCAGGGAAGGGCATTGGTCCAAGCCCATTGAAATTCTGCTAGCAGTCCCAACTGTGATGGTGTTTCAAATTGGTTCTGTGAAATGATCAGGGTTAGGAAAAGAGGCATGATGAGTGAGCATCTGGCTGCTACAGCCTACTGATGGGGACAGTCCCAGGGGTGGACCCAGGGTGAGGGGTGGGAGCACAGACCTAAGGACCCCCTAGGACATCTGCCACTGAAAAACAGGGAAAGAGCCACTCACTGACAGCAGGCAATCTGGCTTGAGACTCATGCCATTTCTACTAGCTATGTGACCTAAACAAGTCCTTCTTCTTCTCTCAGCCTTTTCTCCATGTATAAAATAAACCCTGGATTGAATGGTCTCCAAGCATTTTTCCTGCTAGAACATTCTAATGCTGATTTGATTTCTTTTTACTCTGTAGTAGAAGAGGCCCCACCCACTCCGTCCATACCTGCTTATCTATAGCCTTAGTGTTCTCACACTGACCTCTGCTGGTCATTATGAAAAGTGTCACTGGGAGTGTCCGAAGGTTTAAAAAAAAACAATAACAAAAACAAAAATGCTTATTACTGATTTTGTATTAAGCTTCAGCAGTACACTGGATATTAAGACAGAAACCTTGTGCATTGCAGATGAAAATAAAGAACTGGAACAGTTCTAAGCACAGAGTAAGCATATCTAGAAATGACTGACAAAACAACCCACAAAAAGAAGTGTATCTCCTTCATTTTCCCTTGGCCACCTTCATTTGTTCATGAAACCCTGTGCTACTATGTGAAAGGACTTCAGTGAGTGGGAAGGATCTCACTGAAGGCACATATCCTATGACTACAGGCTCTAGATAGGCCTGACACCATACTGAAGAGGTCATTCAAGACCAGCAGTGCCTCAGAAGCCTTTCCACAGGCCCTGCTTCTGCCCTGAAGTCAGTTTGAGAGGTTTTGTGCTGGGCTGCTGACATGCCCACCAACCTAAACACGTGGGAGCAGCCCAGCAATCCATGTTTCTCCAAGGGGTGCCTTTCCAAGTGCCTCTTTGGAAAAAGAGTCGGAATTTAAAAACAAACTCATGAGTTCTTTAGGGAAGTCACTGTCAGCTTTCTGGTTAGATCAGAGGAGTCTGCAATTTCTGCATGCACACACAGCCAAGGGAAAGGAAGCAGACCACAGAATCCTGCCTTTCTGGGGGACTCAGAGTTCTATTAAGTCTGGCGCTAGAACCACCTCATGCCTAAGTCTCCTTCCTCTCCCATGCTGCTAAGCTTGTTTTCACAAAGGCAAGGCAGAGGTGGGGTGGTCCTGCCCATGAGCCCAGTTTGGTAGCTGCTCAAACCCCTGGAGTGGTATGAGCAGGATGGGAATTGGGCCACACCACAACCCACTCTTCATTCAGTGGTATTGGGTTTCCCCTTCCTTCCCTTGATGCAGAATGACTTTTGGCAGGGTTCGGATTTGAGTCAAGCATTAGGTGCCCTGATTGGTTCTTCTCTGCTAGTAATAACATGGTCTTAACAAGCCTGTCCTGCCCCCATCCACCCACTAAGCAGTCCTGTCCTCCAACAGCTGGTTCTTATCTGCCTCCCTTGTTTCAGCCTCAGGCAGGCCGTCCTGGCCTTCTGCTGACACACACATGTTCTCCTTGATGACTTGCAGCCTGAACTCTGCTTTCTACCCAACCACTTCACATGTGGTCTTATCACATCAATTCTTTACCTTGTCTGCTTGGCTTTCCAGGCCCACTTCAGCTGGGGCCTGCTCAGCCTTCACACATGGCCATGACTGCTCACAGTCACAGGCCAAGTGTCAGCATTCCACAGTCCTCCACGGCCAACCCTTCCTCTGTACACCTGCAGCACTTATGCTCGGTTCCAGGTTTGTGTGTTTGTCTTGAAACCTAGGCCCACATTTTTTGACTTCACTCATCCTCGATAGCACCCCAGCACATTTTTTTACATATTCCTCTTTAGCAATAGAGGGGTTTAATTTGATCATAGAAGATTGATTTAATTAAAAATCTACCATAGAAAAGTATATGCCTAAGTTTTATCAAGGCTTCAAAATATAGATAATTTTAATATTATTTGAACTGTCCCAGACCATGAGGGAAATGTACAGCTCCTTTGTTTTAAATAGCCCGTATAATTGTAATTATAAAAGCTGATTAAAATAGTATTTAAAACTTAAAAAGTATTGTTCTTTTTAGTTTACACACACACATTGCTGCTAGGAAAATTACAATAGTAATTATTACAAACAAAATTCCAACAATGGGAGGTGGGAGCCTAAAAGTAAACTCATCTTCCACCTTCTTCATTCCCAGAAGTGGGCCTGTGGGTGTTGTGGTAGATGGTGCTCCAAAGAACTAAATGTCCCTGGACAAAGTGTCTTTTACTTCTTTGCAAGAGTCCTAGGTCTTCATGGGCCTGATTGACAATGAAAATTACACTCCAAAAGACCAGCACAGCTGGTGGCCACTTGCATCTCCAGTATGTGATTCTAGCCGCTGCACAAGGCATCTGTCCTGTTTTCAGCCCTTTAAAAAGCAAACCTTGAAGGTGAATAGTAAAGGGCATGTTTAATGGGCTTTTTCAGAGTTTTTCACAGATTTGTAGGAAATTGTGGACAGTTAGTAAAGGGGCCAAGAGGTGGGGATAGGAAGCATTTATGAAAATAGGCTTTCTACCTGACATTGTGCTGTGTTCTCAGAAAAGTCATGCACATTACTAATGCTTTTCATTTTTCTGCCAAGAAAATTCAGTCCCCACTGGGATTTGTTCTAAACGATAGCCCAGCCTGCCTGTGTTGCACCCACTGGGGTTAATTTTCAGTCTCAGTCTGCTTGAAAATGTCAGCCTGAACTCTTAGACTTAATTGTTACAGACATTTTATAACCAGGGCATTCATAATCCTCAAGCTGCTCCTTCTTGCTACCATAATTGATACTTAATAGATATTCTCAGGCTCCTTGTATTTTACACATTCAACTCTGTACAAATTGGGGAGGGGAAGGAAAAGGGGATACGAAGGAAGATCAAGTAACTAATGAGAGAGAGAGAGAGAATATCTGTGTGTCTGTGTCTCTGTGTGTGTTTCCTGTGAGTATCTGTGGCCGGGTACAATGATGGAGTCATGGGATCAGGCAACAAAAATTAATTCTAACAAGTTGATTAGTTCATGTGTTTCTGGGTTCTTCCCTCTCCGGCCTCCCAGGGCAGTGTTCTTTGGGTACAACCATTCCCGAACTACAAGCATGTGGTTGACTGTTGGATGTGGGTTATAAAATGCCATGATGCTCTCCAGTGTTCTGTTCTTTCACTATTTTGACAATCTGATGGATGGCCTGGCATTAATGAAGGAAAGGACAATATTATCCAGCCTGAATAATCTCCTAAGAAGTACAAAGTTGAGGGATCGTGGTGCACATGAATCTTATTAAATGTGCTTATAAAATGTGTTCTATCCAAATAAGCTTAGCAGCCCCTAAAATAGCCTTTTCTGACCTGGAACTTTGGCATGCCTCACAAACCTCTAAGCCAAAGTTATTTAGTGAAGTAGTGACTGTTGTTTGTGTGTGAGAAATAGGAAATGTTGATGTTAAATCCTCTATTGACTAATTGCAATCTTTCTGTTCATCTTAGGGGCAACCTGGACCAATTGGAATTCAAGGCCCAATGGGTCCTGAAGGAGTTGCTGGTCCTGCCGGTTTACCAGGGTTGAAGGGAGAAAGGGGTTCCCCAGGGCCTCTAGGGCCATATGGACCAAAAGGAGATAAGGTAAGATGCACCTTTGAAGCATTGGTCACAGTACAAGAGTCAAAAGTTGTCAGTCTCGGTTTTACTCATTTATGAAAATGATATTATTTCTGAATGCTTTGGTGCCAGTTTGCATACTTTAAGAGACAGAAAGGGTGATATGCTGCTGGTGAATCAACCCATTTTCTGGAGAGACTCTCATTCCAAGAAAACTATAAAATGAATATGTCAGCTACTTGCCAGACAAGTGGGCTCACTTGTGAGAAGTCTTGTGGATTTAAACTTGGCATGGCTCAGAAGTCCAATCAGCTGAGCAGTAGAGCTCAAGAATCTCACAAAGAAGCCAGAAGTGGTAGCTCATGACTGTAATCCTGGCTACTCAGGAAGTGGAGATGGGAGGATCACAGTTCCAAGGCAGTCCAGGAAAAAGTTAGCAAGACCCCATCTCAATCAATAAGTCAGGCATGGTAGTGCACATCTGTGATCCCAGCTTTCCAAGGGGGCTTAGGTAGGAGGAGTATAGTCTGAGGCTGTCCCCAGGTAAAAATGTGAGACTCTACTCAAGAAATAACTAAAGAAAAAAAGTGCTGGAGGAGTGGCTCAAGTGGTGGAGGGCCTGGCTAGCAAGTACAAGGCCTGAGTTCAAAAAAGTAGACTAGGACTCAAGAAGCCAGGTTCAGAAGACCAAAAATTGTATGTTCTCCCTCATATGTGGACTTTAGATCTAGGGCAAATGCAGCAATGTGGTTGGACTTGGATCACATGACAAGGGGAGAGCACATACAAGAGGTATGGGGATAGGTAGAAACCCAAAACATGAAAGCGTTTGATGTTCCCACTCCAGAGGAACTAATACAGAAACCTTAAAGCGACAGGTTATCACGAGCAGGGGATCAGTAACCAGGGTAAAGATCAGTTAGAGATGAATCAACATGGGTCATAACACATGTGTACACGAAAGCAATGCTAGGAATCTCTCTGTATAGCTATCCTCAACTCAACTAGCAAAAATGCTTTGTCTTCCTTATTATGCTTATGTCATTTCTTCAACAAAATTAGTGATAAAGGCAGAACAGGACCTGCCCGGAACTGAGGGGGGGAGGGGTAAACAGTGGGGGAATGGGGCAGGGTGGAGAAATGACCCAAACAATGTATGCACATGTGAATAAATGAATAAAAAAAAGTCAGAACACTTGAAGGCAATCTGGGCCACAAATATAAGGAATGAGCTGCAAGAAAAGACAGTGATAACATCATGGCAGCTGTCTGACTGAGTTTAGCAGCTCGGTTTATGCTCCTTACCTATTTGAATAACTTCCTGTTTATTCTATTGGTGAGGGAGGGACTCTCCCACTAGGGTTATGAGGGTGACTGTAGATACCACACCTAACACCAGACAGATGAGACTGATAGCAGTTTATTAGTCACATATACTCAGAACTCAGTGGAAAAAGACACTGTATACCATGTAAGGCCACACAGGGGTCATACTGAGGAACTAATGAACCAAGTCAGGCTTTGTAGTATCAAGATGCCCCTGGTTCCTGAAGAAGGATGTAATTTGACTTGCTTGAATAACTCACTGGCAAGAGACTGAAACTGTTATTCAGGGATAAACAGGAACTTCACTTGGTCCCTTTGATAGGAGGGTTGTTTGGCTAAGGGGCCTGATCTGAAGGAGCAGAGTGGTTCCATCCAGATGTGAAAGTAATAATGAGCCTTAACTTTAGACTTACACTGTATGGCCTAACACAAGAACTGGTCTCTCAACACAAATATGCCCCAGGTCTTAGGTAAAAGTAAGTGATCACTTAGAAATGGGGTAGGGAGCAAGTGTGGGGAGGAAGATACAAAACACTTATTAACAATTTGGGTCATTAAATAATAAACTAAATCTAACAGACATCATTTGGATTGTCTCTTACATTCCTCCTCCTACTCCATTTTTAGGGTCCCATGGGAGTTCCTGGCTTTCTTGGTATCAATGGGATTCCGGTGAGTATGTACACAGTAGCATTTTTTAAATCACCCTCTAGGTTCTGCCCATAGCTCAGGCACTTCGGCCTTAGAGACATCCTATGTTGTACAAGCATGCTCAGGGTCAAGTATTGGGGTGTGGAGGGGGGAGGTTTAAAGGGCAGTGATCACACACAATTAGTCTTGACCTCAGGTCCACGCAGTCCTTAATCAGATGGTTAGGAGTGGAAGAACATATGCATCCATAAGAAACCACCTGTATCTCAGCCCAAATGAGTTAGCTCTTGTTGATTAAGGAGAACTTTGGTTGCAGATGAGGGACGGTTCTTAGGTGCAGAGACAGAGCCATGTTAGAGCACGTACATATCCGTTATATGCATGTTAAGAAGGTACACAAAATTTGACAAGAAAATCCTTACTGATATCTCGATATGTTTTATTTCAGTGATTTGTTCTCTTCAACCCTACTTTATTTCAGAGTGAATTTTCCTTTATTTTCTACAAAGCAACTACTCCAAAGATTGCTTAGAAACAACCTTTTCCACTCATCCTGTGGACCTTTACTTTGCTGGAGATAAGTGGGGGATTTGGAGTTTGCAGACATCTTTTTCCCATTCCATCCAGCCTAATTCTTTAGTTTCTCCATTTTCATCCTATATCCCCACTTAATCCATGCTAGAGAGACTCGATAGTAACATTTCACCAGCTTTTAAAATACAATACTTGGAAGTTAATGGCTATCACTTTTTGGTCTTGTCCTTTGCCACTTCTCTCCATATTTAAGACTTCATCTGGGCTATGTTTGTCTAGAACATAGTTTTCAATCTTTTTTAAGAGAAGACTAGAATCTTATAGGGAAGCTCGTCATATAGAACAGAAAAAGTACAGCTCTTCCACATGAGGGAAGCCCTAGAGCCTGCCTTTATCCTTCCTGCAACTTCTAAGGGCCTCTCCTGATCCTCTTCAAAGCATGGGTTGGTAACCCTTAGACTTAACATCTTTTTATGTAATGCTATCAAATCATGTAGTATCAAAAAGGTGGAAGGACTCACATCTTTTTGTGCCAATCTCTAGATATTTCTTTAGCACCTGCCACATGCTAACACTCTACTAGGGAGATATAAAGGAAGCTCTGCCCTCAAAGGTATTATCGTCCTATCCATTTTCTCCCAGGATCTAGTAATATTTGTGGCTTTGCAGAATAGAAGGCTCATATATCTTGTATTTGTTACATGTATCAAGCCAGCCATCAGATTTCTACATTTTCTTCAAAAGGAGACTTTAAAAAATGTCTAGAAATAAGACATGAAGACATTCTTTTAGAATGTTCCCTGGCATTTTCTTATGACTGTGTTCCTATGTTCACTTTAGTCAGAGTCTCTGCCCAGATGTGTATCTTCTAGGAGCCAGGAGGTGAGGGAAACCAGCAAACTAGAGACGACCTCTGCTGTCCCTCTTATGAACCTGGCCTGTCCAGAGGTGCCTGGGGCATCAGGGCTTACAGTGTTACTATGCCTTTCCTCCTGTGGTCTCTTTTTTCCTGTGGTCTCCTTTTAATGGAAGCTAGAAGCAAGTGAATCCAGTGAAGCCCAAGGTGTTTCCAGATTTGAGCTGGAATCTGCTCCTAAGTCCAGCTGGACACTTCTACTTCCAACTTGTGGTCAAGAGAGCCCTAGAGTTTACAGGAATTGATCACTTCTCTTTGGGGCTTCATTGCAGCTGTCCAGAATCCCCCAGATGAGCTTGCTGCTCCCAGTAGACACCCCCACACCCTTGGCCCTTCCCTTGATCAAAGATTGTGTTTTGTCTTGGCTTTTGATTGCTCTAGCTTCAGACTCCAAGTCTCATTACTATGTGAAATCCTTCTCCTTTATTCTTTCTGTCTCTTCCAGCTATTTAAGAAGTTTATACTGAGCACCTTGTGTTCACTGCTTACCTCTTCCTTCCATCTCAGAGGTCCCAGGAGTCTTCATTATATATGGTCTGTCATATTTATTGGTTGTATTGTGTGACTATTTCCTCTAGCTCCTTAAAAGCACAGATTATGTCTTCTGCTCCTCCCAAAGGCCCCACAGGCTCAGGGTTGAATTCAACATATAGTAGGAAAGCTAAAAATAATTGAGAGACTGACTCCACCCCTAAGGCCTATAAAAACCAGGGTTCTCACACTGGCAGGACTACCTCAGACAAAGTAAAACACAGGTACCATAGGCCCTGTCAGATTAATCATTTTGTTCAACTTTGCGCAACATCTATTAAGCAGTTTGACTGAAACCAATAGCTTCTCTAACACTTTTTGTTTCTAAACTGAATCACCACACAGATATGGTTTCTCTCTTAATATTGGATGATCATTAACATATGTGTCACTGGTTTGGGCCCCAAAACTCCATTTTTGCTGTCATGTAAACAATTTCAACATGAGCGAGAAAGTAGTCATTTCATAATAATTCAAGTCTTTCTGCCAAGGGGCACAGCAACCAGTGGAGAGATAGAACAAACAAGATTATTCATTGGGATATTCAATATTAGAACAATGTAGACTAGGGAGGGTAGAGCTGTGGACTTTTAATCCTATCCCAGCTATGAGTTGGGGCTGTTGGCACCCACATGAAATACAAGAAATGCGTGTTTATCCAATATTTGCAGTTTGAATAAGTTGGGAGCAGAGGTTTTCAAGTTGTCCTTTGCAAATTATGTTTAGTTTTTCCCAGGGAGTCACTCTCAAACATTCCCCTGCCTGAAAACTTGTAAATAAGCACACTAGGTTTATAACTTCAAAGTGGACACATACCACTCACCAAATGGAAACTTTTCTTTTGGAATTGGGTTCTGTGTTCCTTCTGGAACACAGCAGATCCTTCTAGTCAGTGTACTCATTCCTTTGTGGTTAGATAAAACTACGGTCTCCTCCCTCAAAGAGCTACAATTCTCTTGGAAAGCTGCCAAACACGTATGTAAAATCATTAGTGATAACCAGAAAAAGCAAAGTACCAGAGATTCTATGGTACTGAGACTTGAGAGGAGGTAGAGCCCAGCCTTATGGCTTGTCCTTGCTGACTTGCCTGGGATAAAACTTAACACTTTTGAGCTCCTTCTTAGTGAACGTAGTCTCATTTGATTTTGACCATAACCCAATGGGAGAGTTATTATTCATTTTAATGTTGACAGCAGCCCTGTAAGGCAGATATTATTCATCTCCATTATACAGATGAAGGAACTGAAGTTCCATCGGGAAGTGGTGAAACTGACAGGCCTGTCAACAGGCTCAAAACATGTATGATCTACTAGTCCATGGTATCAGCTGGATGAGAAATGGCTGTTATGTCTGAGTCAGAGGTCAAAGGTTAATTCCTCAGAATTCCACTAAGATAGGAAAGAGTAAACAGATAACCCTAAAATCCTGCAGGTGGGAGATATCGGGAGTTTAGATGAGAAAATTAGAGAAGGATTGAGCTCAAGTAAAACTAAAGTGGATACCAAAGAGTAAAAATTCAGACAAAGGTTTTGGTACCAAACAGAACCCAAGGTCCCAAGAAGAAGGAAGATGCCTGGTACTGAGCCAGCCTTTTGTCTTACCTTAACTTATCCCTACTACCCAGCTAAGAGATAACCCCTAGAAAGATGGGCACTACACCCAAAGGGTTTAACTGAGTAGCGTTGAATGAAGAGTATATTTAAAGGATGTGGCAGGATTAAGAGAAACCACAATGGATAGTGTAGGCAACAAACTCAAAGCTGTTAACTCATAGTTCGGAACAGGAAAAAAGGCAATCATAATAATGGAACCCAGTGAGACCTGGAGCCATGAAATAAATAGCTGTTGCCCAACAAGAGCTAAGACTCTAGAGAAATGTGGCTATTGCTAGAAATGCAGCCAAGGAGGGAAAATAAATAACATGCTCTTTCTCCTGTTCCCATCTCCAACCTGTGTCTCCCAGTGACTAAATACAACTGGGAGACAAAAGGAAAGGGAGCCTGTGTGGTGTGGTATAGTCCATAGCCACCATTCACCAGAGACACAGATCTGGGTATCTTCAGGGCATATAATAATAACTATCCAGGTGGTAATAAAGAGTCAAAGACTTCCTAGTAAGCTGCCTTAGTTCCTCTCAGAAGAATTGCAATCATCATTTGAGTCTTTAGAGGCACAACTCATGTCAGGTTTGTTGCAAAGACAAGTCCAGGCAATTCCTCTGGATTTAGCATTCTGTGAATCCAGTAGTCTAGACTCACACTTTTGTACTAACAGTCTGTCCACCTCCTACAACTATAATAACAATGAAAATGCAATACAACTGTATGGAGCATTTTCCCTGAAAGTTTGATGAAAGGTTATTTCCTCTAATATCGTAGTCCACCTTATTCATGGGAGATACATTCTAAGACCCCTAGTGGACATTTAAAACTGTAGATAGTATGGAATTTTATAATTTAATGCCTTTTTCCATCTTAACTAAGCACTTATCACACACTGTGATCATAATGTTTGTGGTGTGAGGTGGGACATAGAACTAGTAGTGCAAATTTCTCTTTCCTGCTTCACAACTTAATGGATAGATTTGCTCTTATCTTAGATCTTAGCATCATCGGCATATGATTTGTTTTCTTTCTATATAAAAACCTTTTCATTTAAAGGAAGCACTTTACAGTTTCTCTTTGTCATATCTGAACTGCCAGCATCACTATTTTTGTGCCCTGGGGTCAGTATTAAGTAAAATAAAGATGACTTGAACCTGGGCTTGGTGCTTCATGTTTGTAATTTCAGCACTTGAGAAGCCTAAACAGGAGGATTGTGAGTTCAAGTCCAGCCTGGCCTATATCATGAGACCCTGTCTTGAGAAAAAAATAAAAAGATTACTTGAACACAAGCACTGTGATACCACTGTGAAAATTGATCTAAATAAGAAAGATGACTATGGAGTGACTAATAGGCAAGTAGAGTATACAGCGTGAATATGCAAGACAGTGGAATGATTTACATCACAGATGTGGTGGAGTGGGACAGCATGAGAAAGAATGCTTAGGGGGATTAGGAATCCTTTTATTCACCATGCCCAACACAACTGGTCTTTCAGGTCATTTCTTTGCCCCATGCCAACACAAAACTAACTTTCGGTAGATTTAAAAAGTTACATTCTTTACAAAAAAGGAGCTATATGTACCCAGAAAGCCCAACTCAGAGAAATTATTAAATTCAGATAAGCTGTATAAAAATGCTTACTAGTTCTCCAGCAAAACAACTGCCTCAGTTGTGAGTATGGAAAAGAGGAAAAGATAACAATAGCCTGACATGTGATGGTAACAACCCGAGATTGAAAGTGTGGTTCTTGCAGGGCTTTCTTATTTTTGGCCAAGTAGCTTTCGGGAAAGAAGTGTTATGGGAACTGCTTCTGCTCTCTTGACCAAAATCCAGCATTAGTTCCCATGCAGAGCTTTCAAAACAGAAAGTCATGCCAGGCTTCCCAGGATCTGTCTGGCCTGAGGAATCCCAAGGCCTGGCATGATTTCCTTTTGGTAGTAGTTCAGCTGCCAGACAACTAAACTCCATTTAATACATTCTTGTACCCAGAGAAGGTAAAGTTGCAGCACCCTGTGTATTCCATCTGTTCATGCTTGATCTCTTTTGTTCCTGCTTGGATCCTACAAAAGCATAGGTCCTTTTGAAAGGGGGTATCTTTAAGCTGTGATTAGACTCAGATAGCTTAATGTAAGGAAAGATATGAGAGAGTGTGTGATAAAGCTCAGGGAGTGGACAAGGAGCCAGAATTTAGCTTTTCTCATTGTGCAGCTTTTGGGAGTAGCTGGTAGTACTGTGGCCAACTTGCTCATTTCTTTTCTCTTTCAACAGGGCCACCCTGGACAGCCAGGACCCAGAGGTCCACCTGGCCTAGATGGCTGTAATGGAACTAAAGGAGCAATTGGATTTCCAGGCCCTAATGGCTATCCCGGGATTCTTGGACCACCTGTATGTTGCCAGATCTTTGAACATTAATTCAAATGGCATTGTTTATCTCCAAATATGCTCTTTTTCTGTTTCTCTAGAAACTTCATTAAACTTCTGTGGGGCAGCCTCTGCAACCCCTTGTCCAATGCAGGAATCTGTGCTGGCAGCACCATAAAAGCAAAAGTCTAAAGAATACCGGTTGTATGTGTAAGAGGGGATCATGCTACACTACTTCAGATTGCTGTTTTCAATGCTTCTTTTGGAAATGGCAAGATTGTTAAAATGATGTTGGAAAATGCTTGGAAGGCTTACATGTGATCATAGAGGCACTAACAAGAACCCAACAACTTGGCAAGCTTGGTCTATATCAGTGGTACTTAACCATGGGTGATTTTGCCCCTCAGGGGACATTTGACACTTTTATTGATATCTTTGGATGTCATAACTAGGAGTATGTTACTGGCACAGGATAGCAACCCCCCCCCCCATGTCAAGAAATCTTTTGGCGCAAAGTGTCATTGGTGCCAGGGTTAAGAAACACTATACTTATAATTTGTCCCCCACCCCTATTCTACTTCATAACTGTTGGTGATAGGTTGATAAAGTATTTATTGAACCTCAATGTCACCACTTTTAATGATTCTATTAATCCAGATAGGGCTCAGATATTTGTATCTAAAGAACCTCTAGTAGACATCAGGCCTTTACAAAGCTGATTTTATAAGTGGCTGGAAAGAGACAATTAACATATTTTCAAGCCTCACTTAAAATAATCTAAATTATTAAGGGTTCTAATGTGAAACTTTTAACTAGAAGCCACACCATCCATAAGATAGATTTCGTATCCACATGAATTAATTGGCATTTCACAGGGACAGCAACACCATTGCCTTCAGTGACCAGATTGTGGGTATGGGCATATGTGTGAAAAGTGACAGAGACAGACAAATTACAGCCCAAGATTGTCATAAAGGGCCTTGACATCTAAGGACCAAACCAATATATAGCAAAGGGGGCAGTAGAGAAATATATTTTCCTAATATGGAAAAATCTGTGTGAGTCACAAAGGCCTCTAAAAGCTGCCATGGCAACAGGGCAGGAGAACAGACTATGTCTGTGATGAAAGTGGGAATCCATCAAAGCAAGGGAGTTTCAGTGCCAAGAAGGAGGAGAGAGGTCTTGAGGTAATAAACCTCCTCTGACTAACAAAAGACAAAGGTAAAAGCCTAATCTTCTTCCTAAACCTTACCTTAAACCTAAATAGAAATTTAGGCATGTATTTTGCTAAGCTGACCTTATCCCCTGTTGAATATCCATTTAGTTATCTTCTTTGAAGCTTCTTTAAAAAGCATATTGACCACAAGACTAAGGGGAAACAGGCAGTGTTAGGAAAGAAACAGGTTTGTGCTTCTAAGGCCATGCCATTCTTTTATTAAACCAATGGTCCCAGTGCACAAGGAATCCATCATTCAATCAACAGTTCAGTCCCCAAAGCTTAGCCTTACCCGCAGTACAAATCCTGACTTCCCCTTATTGGTAAGAACATTGATTTTTCCCAGGAGGACACACTGTAGCAGATATTATCCAGCACCTGTCAATGATACAAAGAAAAAATCTGGGTAAAAGACTGGAATTGGGTATGTTGAACTGTTTTCCATGTTAACAATGAGACACTAGCCTCTTCACAGGTATTGAAGCTGAAGTTGTGTGGTAGAAGTCCAGGATGAAGATGGTTTCATAGGTACCTTTTAGACCAGGGGCCACAAATGGACCCACAAAGGCACTTGCCTGTAACCTGTTTTTACTTTTTTTGGGGAGGTGGGGTGGTACTGGGATTTGAACTTAGGGTCTTGTGTTTGCTAGGCAGGCACTCTACCTCTTGAGTCATTCCACCAGCCCTTTTTGTGTTGATTATGTTTGAGATAGGGTCTGCTTTATGTCTGGGCTGGCCTGGACCGCAATCCTCCTATTTGGGCTTCCTCTTGTAACTGGAATGACAGGTGCATCACCAGGCCCAGCTATTGGTTGAGATGGGGTCTAGCGAACATTTTGCCCAAGCTAACCTTAGACCGCAATCTCCCTGATCACTCCTAGTGTTATAGGCATGAGCCACTGCACCCTGGCTAATTTTACATTTTTAAAGGTATTTTTTAATGTGGGACATTCCTAGACATAGCCCACTAAGATTAAATTAATTCATATCTGGCTCTTTATGGAAAAATTTTGCTGACCTTTGTCCTAGATTGAGGCCCTGTCAGTGGCTTATATCTGTGAGGGGTAAAGTAGTGAACCGTAGACTTACAAATAATATGTGTTTGTTGAGAGCAGTGCTCTTAATAAATGTAAAGCCTCCTGCTTTTGAACCCCTATCCCTTTACAGACCTCTGACGTGGAGGTAGGGGGATGGCACCCAGCTTTGAGACATAATACTTGTTCAGGAGAGGGCTTTGCTCCTTAGCACAGCCAATTCTGCCAGAGTTCCAGGCTCTCATTATTCCACCCTTCATCTGATCAGATCATACTGTTAACAGAACTATGTGTGTGTGCATTTCTTCACAAGCTTTTCTTGTTTTACTCAGGGCCTCCCTGGTCACAAAGGCTCAAAAGGTGAACCTGCTTCTTCTCAAGGTAGTCTCCCAGGAGTGGAGGTAAGAGCCTCTAAGGCAGGCAAGTGAGCAGGATATATTCTGGGTTCCCCAGGATTGGAGCCCACCTACAGCAAAACGGTTTCCAGAACTAGCATCTGTGTCTCTATTTAAGGAGCAGACAAAGCTGGGTTTAAAGGGATCCAGAGCTTTTTGTGGTGGAAACATTGAAAACATGTTTGCAACTATACTGTCAGAGAGATTTACTTTTTGGGATCTAAACCAAAAATAAGAGACAGATCAGCAAACAAACAGTTTGCATGGATATCATTTTCTTTGACAAGCCACGACATTTCCTAGAGGCAGATACTTTTTGTCTACTCTAGAATCTTAATGTCTACATATCTTGGTTTGGATCCATGTGTGTCTCTGCCCATCTCAGTATGGCTTCCAGCCCAGGATCCTGGCCCCACCTTTCTCTACCCCTGCACAATACCCATCATCCTACCTGGGCCCCTGGATGTCTGCAAAAACTTGCCCATGGGCTCTGCAGCTGGCTGGAAACTTTATTCTCTTGTCAAGAACCTTCTGATTTATTGTGACTATACTCTTGGTGTATGCTGCCTGATATCCTTGTGGGGCCTCAGTAAACCCTGGCTCCAAGTGATTGACCATACTGTTCCTTTGCAGACTGGGAAAAGAGCCCATCATTGCCCTGTTAGCAAATCGGAATCTATGTCCAGCATCTGAGAGAAAACGTACCAAACTTGGTCAGCTAATTGATGGCACTTTTCTGACTTCCACCCATGCACAGAGCCAGGGACTTGGAAACTAGCTCTGAAGGCAGTGATAAGAGTAGGTAGTTGGACAACTGGAGAACATCCAAAGTTTGGGCTCTTAACTATGGGTACCATAACAGAAGATAGAATGTTAGAGTTCAAAAGGACCTTATGATGGCTGGATTCATATTGCTCATGTTGCAGACAGAAAAAGAGGTACACTGAGGTTATGTGACTTGCTCAGAGCCACACAGCCACTCACTGAAGAGCTAACCCTGGCAATGTTTTTTCCATGCTACAGAGAGTTAATTTTTGACTGTAATCCAAGTGAGGTAAGACTACCAGGTGTCAAAATATAGCCATTGTCATAGAACACATTGATTAAATGGTTTCACCAAAAATCAAAGGGACCCTGGATCCAGTGGTACACAGTAATTTCCACAAGACGGTTATATTACAGATTCATGCAGCGACTTAAGATGCTGCAAAGTAATTAAAATGTAATCAGAAATTGTATGCTCTGTTGATTTTTCCTTGAAATGTCTGATTTGCATTGTATACATATGGGCACAGATTCTCTGGGGATGAAGGCACATGGGAAAGTAGCTTTGCTTTCTTCCAAAAAGAGCAGGCAAATCACCAGCCTGCAGAAGCAGTTTCTAATTGATAAGTTCCTAGCAAAGGTGAAAATTAATTAATCCAAGTAAAATATGAAGTCCTGTTTACCCAAGGCTACAATATTTGTCTTCTAGAGTCCATATTTTTCATAAGAAAAAAGTAGGACATAAGACCTTGACAGAGGAGGCCCAAGTTTCACTAATGCATTTTTACCCCATGAATCTTAGGTTAGTTGTCTGGACTACTGTGGCCTTAATTTATTAATTTCTTCAGTGTCCCGCCTTTGTCTGTTTCTCAGGGAGATCCTGGACTTCCTGGACTAGATGGAATTGCTGTAAGTTGTTATTTATGTGTTGAGCTCCTGATGCTTAGTCAGCAGTCATCAATAGCGCTTTATCATTCCTTGTGGTTCAAAGGCCTTCACAGACCTTCTCAAGGAAAAATCTAGAGAATTCAGTGGAAAAAGTCACACTATTCTCAGTTTCCAGATGAGAAGCTCCTGAGAGGATGAATTGTCCTCCTCAAGTTGCATGGTAGGCATGCTTTCAGACTTTAGGTCAGGGACCCCCTATGGTAGTCTCCCCTTATTTTCCAAGACCCCAGGTAGATACCTGAAACCATGGATAATACTGAATCTGTATGTACATACTTGTGATAAAGTTTAATTTATAAATTAAAGAAATTAGGAAATTAACAATAACTAATAATAAAATGAAACAAGTATACTGATATTCTATAATAAAAATTATGTGAGTGTGATCTCTCTCTCCCTTCCTCCTTCCTCCCCTCTCTTTCTTAAAATACCTTACTGTACTGCACTCCCTTTTCTTCTTATGAAGATGTGAAATGACACAATGCTATGTGATGAGATTGAGAGAGGTGAACAATGCAGGCATTGGGACACAGTGTTAGGCTACTACATAAGGGTTATTTGAACATACACACTACGCTTCTTTTCCCACTGAATATTTTTGAACTGTGGCTGACTGGGGTAACTGAAAACATGAAAAGCAAAACCATAGATAAGAGGGGAGTACTGTATTCTTCAGGGCATATTAGAAAAGTACTTTGCCTTTAATTCAGCAAGCATCTACTAAGTATTTTCTGCATGTTCCTACAGGTAAAACAAAAGAAGTAGATCACACTTCTTTAAGAGATATTCCAAACAGAAATTCCTTTTAGGGGGCTGGTGGAGTGGCTCAAGCGGTAGAGCACCTGCCTAGCAAGTGTGAGGTCCTGAGTTCAAACCCCAGTGCCACCAAAAAAAAAAAAAAGAAATTCCTTTTAGGGACTCTGATGATAGTCCATAAAAGGCTGTACATTATATTAATAAGAGAGCTTTCATTTTCCTTGAGATTCCACATTGTCATCACTTTCCTCTGAAGTAACCTAAAATTTGCCTCTTTTTCCCAAATTTGTTCTTTCCTTCATGTCTTCCTTTCTTATTTTCAGTCCTCAACAGATATTGAGCACCTACTATCAGCAGAGTGCTATGAGTGATCCCTCAGACACTGTCCTTGCTCCCAAGGATGTAAAAAAGCCAATGTTAGGAATGTGTCTAAAATACACAGTTTGCCTACAGATCCATCATGGGAGACTTGTATCTAAGAAAGAGAAAATAGCTTCTGAGCAGTATGTATGATGTTTAGACTTGCTGACAGTGGGAGGAGGCTTTAGGCGAGAAACATGAAGTATGCAAGCCCACACAAAAGCAAAGATGACTAAGGACCAAGGATCTAGAGCTAAACAAAATTGGCTTAAAAGGTGTGTTCATTAAAATTGCAGAATAACATCCACTTTATTTGCTGCATAGCTTCTCTCGGGGATTCTGTCCCCTGCCCACAAAAGTAAAGGGTTTTTCTTTTTACACAGGCATTATATACAAAGTGCTTAGATTTGAGGAAATGGTGGCTGAACAAGAGATTCAAGATCAGTAAGGAGACTTTAGGTTGTTAGCAATCTTCGAAGCCGTATTCATACTATCATTCATTCTTAGGGAGTCTTTGATCCTCCCTTCTCTTCCTCATGTCTAATTCCTGATCTTTTAGACTTTCTATCCCTTACTTAAATACATGTGATTTTTGTCCTGCCTTACATTTCTCCAAACCAGCTTTCTCTTGATTTAGTGAAATCAGGTTTTAGTAGTTATAAACATTTTCTAATTTCCCATCTGACCTTTTCTTTGATCCATGGAGTATTTAAAAGTATTTCATTCCCAAATATGTGGCAATTTTCCAGCTTTTTACTCTTGATTTCTAATTTGATTCCATTGAAATTAGGACAACTCACACTAGTGTTCAATCCTCTAATTTGCTGAGGTTTGGTGTATGGCCCAGTATGTGGGCTAACTTGGTGAATGTTCTATATGCACTTGAAGAGAATATGTATTCAGCTGTTGTTGGGTATAATGATTTAAACAATATCCATTAGGTCAAGGTAGTTGATAATGTTATTTGGATCGTAAGTGACCTGACTGATTTTTTTTTTTTTAGTTCTGCTAATTACTGAGGGAGAGATGTTATACTCTGCAATTATAATTGCAGGTTTATCTATTTCTCCTTGCATTTCTGTCAGTTTGGCTTCATGTGTTTTAAAGGTCTGCTATTAGCTGCAGGCACATCTAATATTATTATGTCTTCTTCATAAACTGACCTATTTATCATTATGAAATGTCCCCTCTATCTCTGGTAACATTCTTCATCTTGATGTCTACTTTATCTGGTACTAAATAACCATTTTGCTATTTTTTTGCAACACTTTAATGGGGAAAATTCAAATATAGAGCAAAGTTTAGCAAATTTTGCAGCGATCACCCAGATCATTAATATTTTATTATACTTGCTTTACTCCTCTCCTGTCCATCTATCCAACCCTGAATGTTCATCAATTCATCCTAGTTTTTGGTGCATTTCTAAGTAAATTATAAACTTATTCCTAAGTACTATAGAATGCCTATTGTTAAACTTTCAGTATTTGTTTTCCATTTTCTCTTTTATATAAAATTTACATACAATGAAATCCATAAATCTTAAGTGTGCATTTGCTGAATTTTGACAAATACGTACTCCTCAGTAACCCAAACCTCCATCTTGGTATAGAACATTACCATCATCCCAGAAAATTCCCTCTTGCCCATTCCCATTCCATCCTCGTCTCCACCCCATCCCAAAGACAACCACCATTCCAAATTTTCTATATCATAAATCAATTTTTGCTTGTTCTAGGACTTCATATACAGGAAATTATATAATAGCTCTTCTCACTTAGCACAGTGCTTTTGAGATTCCTGTATACAGTTTCATATATCAGTAACTTGCTACTTTTTATTATTGAGTATTTATTCCACTAGATAGATGTATCACAGTTTATAAGTCCCTGTATCAATGGATGCCTTGGATAATTCCAATTTTTGCTATTTAAGTTGCTATGAATATTCTTGTACAGTTCTTGTGGACATACATTGTTTTCATTTTTCTTGGGACACTGTCTTGTATTTTGACCTTGTTAAAAACTTGCCTCTCTAGGGCCCACAAGGACCACCTGGATCTTCTGGAGATATAGGACCCATAGGAGTTCCAGGATTACAAGTAAGAGCAACATAAATCTAATATGTGATCACAGTAGTCACATGACTATTTTCCTCACCAGGCCATGTGTTAAATGTATGCCTATGTTATTTAGGTACTCTTAGAGAACCACTCCTGGAGAATTATACTGCAACATACTCTTGTTAGGAACTATTGGTTGTCTTTATTTGTCAGAGTCTTTTCTGTCTGTCCAATCTGTGCCCCCTTAAACTTCCTAGTCTAACTCAACTTAAAATATAGCCCAGAGATAGCAGATACCTGACACATACATTGCCACCTTCTGCATCATAGACTGCTAATTAATCATACTACCATCACTCACAGATGAACACTGAGGAAGCTTCAAAACTCTTTTCAGCTCTGCACCTTGAGCAGCTCTACCTAGTACTTGTTTGTCTGATGCCAAACTAAATATCACTGGTGTAGGAAGAGAATAACCACTTAACTCTGGGCTCTGGGAAAGCCCTGTCCCTAGATTGTTCTCTACAGTGCATGAAATCTCACTTGTTACTTTGCTTAGCTTCACCAAGTCATCATTTAAAAACACCTGACCTACAAAAGTCGCATGTTTCTCTCATATGTGGAATATAAACCTAATACAAACACAGCAATATTCTGAAAAATAGGCCACGCTAAGGGGAGGGTAAAAGAAGGAAGTTAAGAAGGCAAATATGGTTGATGTACTCTCTATACAAGAATGAATATAGAATTTTTAAACTTGTTGAAACCACCATAAGAAAGGGACTAAGGTAGAAAGAAAAAAATAGAGGAGCTGAACCAATTCGGGCTATAATACATATGTACATGGAAGTTCCACAAGGAAACTCCCTGTGTAGCTATCTTAAACAAAACAAAATGTTATTTTTTTTCTTTTACAAAATTAGAGAATAAGAGGGTGGAACAGGTCCTGTCTGGGAAGTGTGGTATCAGTGGGATGGATGAGGAGGTGGGGAAAGGGTGAAGGAGGGTGAATATGGTGCAAATACTGTGTACACATGCATGTAAATGGAAAATGATACCTGTTGAAACTATTCCAGGAATGGGGGTAGGGGGATAAAAGAGAGTGGTGGAGGGGGTGAATTCAACTATGATATATTTGATACATTGTAAGAACTTTTGTAAATGCCACAATGTACCCCAACTCAGCACAACAATAAAAAATTGAAGATAACTCAAAATAAATAAATAAAAATACCTGGCCTATTGGGAGGAATGACACATGGTATTTTCACAACCTTAGTATAAATGTGGTTATCAGATCAAATTGGGAGATTTCAAAGGAGATAAAAATGAAACCATGGAAGAACCCACGACTAGAATCCATTATACCAAAACAAGACTATACCAAGCAGGGAAGAGGCTTATCTCCAGTAACTCTTAACATACCCATGTTATTTTTAATTGAAACTATTAAGTGCTAACTCTTTTCTTTCTATTTTTCAATCTAGGGTCCTCCAGGCCCCCCTGGCTTCCCTGGTCCTGATGTAAGTATACTTTATTTTGGGGATATTTTGTATCCTACCACTAAGTAGTTTGGTTTCTCCATAACTATACTGGTTTGGTTGAATGTGCCATCTGGCAAAAAGAAATAACATATTCTAATTTAAGGTCCTGGAGCTTGTTAGTAATCAATTTTCTTTTTCTTTCCTGCACCCCTGTGTCCCCAGGGAAATATGGGGTTAGGTTTCCAAGGAGAAAAGGGAGTCAAGGTAAATAAGCCTTGGAAAATACAATCTGCATTCCATATGCTCCAAGAAATGTCTCTGGTTACACACACATGTCTTCTTGTAAAAGGGGATTTTGTTGTTCATCTTAGGAAATTTCCCATCCCACACAGATTCTTCATGAGACCCCTTGAGGTCTACATGCCACACATAAACTTTATGGTTCTTTTTCTTTCAAATTATTGTCATTCCCTGCTTCCTACCTATATGTCTTACACACATAATCTCTTGAAATATATTCCTTCTCTTCCTTCCACCTGGGTATTTCTCTGCCGGTTTGCACATTCTATCACTCTTTCTTCCCTCTTCTCTGCTTCTTTCCTTCCATCTACCATCCTTCCTCTTCTCTCTCTCTCTCTCTCTCTCTCTCTCTCTCTCCTCTCTCTCTCTCTCTCCCCCTTCCCTCCCCACCGTGTCTCCTCCTAATGCCTCTTTTACCTTTCTTTTTTTACTTCCAACCTTCCTTCATTTCCCTCTCCACAGACTGTTGATATGCCCAAGCCATTTCTGACTAGCTGTCATGGACTGCACTGCCTCATGAATAAGCAACTCTAGCTCCAGTGTCCCAACACACACTTCTCTGCCTCTGCTTGTGCACTTGGCAAAAACTGAACCAAAGCCTTATCATTATTGTCAAGAGGAAGCCATTCACCTTGTTCAAACTCCCTTTTGGCTGTCTTCTGAATACCCTTTTGTACATGGCAACCATGAACCTGTGGTTTCCTTTCATCTATCTTGCTTCTTCCCTCTCCAGCTCTGGTACAAAATGCATTTGGTCAGGCTTAGAATTCTTCTCAATTCCTTGACAATAAGAGTTTTATTTCCAAAGGGACAAAGTAATGGACAATTTATTTGTGAATCACATCCTGAGGACAAACTTATCCTCTGGAAAGAAAAAGTCTGTACAGTTTATCCTTTGATTTTACAGGGGGACGTTGGCCTTCCTGGCCCCGCAGGACCACCACCATCTAGTGGGGAACTAGAATTCATGGGATTCCCCAAAGGGAAGAAAGGATCCAAGGTATTAAACATTTACAATAAGAAAAAATAATACCAGAATTCAACTCTAATAACCAGACTAAACAGAAAGAATATTAGGTTTGGGGGAATGGATTTTTGTTTGAAAGTGAGGATAAAAGTCTTTGTTTTGACCCTTTGGAAAAGCTTTCTAAAAATTCCTAGTCTATTTTCTGGCGTGTAGTTGCTAGTGTGCATGTGTTTCTGAGTATTAGTGTAAGGGGAGGGAAGAGAGAGAGAGAGAGAGAAAGTTATCTTTTTGAAGAAGATATTTGCCCTAAAAATTTGACACTAAGGCTAAGGGCCAGGAAAGTAGCTCAATGACAGATCACTTGCCTAGCATGCACGAGACCCTGGGTTCTATCCCCAGAACCACAAAAACAATCTTGATCCAAAGTATAAGCTATATCGTTGCCAAGTGACCAAGTGGCAGTAGATGTCCTAATTCACCTGATCTAAATTACCAAGTCTTAACCTGCAGATTTGTTTAACTGAGATATAATCTCTATTTTTGTCTGTGAGTGTATACTGTGTACATGGTTGTGTTTCAATGGTTATATTCTGTTAAGGTGTGCAAATATCTTTCAGTAACCCTCATTCCCTTCTCTCCTGGAATTCCTTTGAATTTTGTCATTCTGTTCCCCTGGTTCAGGCAAGGAAATGTGTTTAGTCTCACTTTTTCAGTTTTTTAAAGTATGTTTAATGGTTGAAAGCAAACTTTCAGTATTATCTAATGAGGGTTTCATTGTATGTTCATGAAATGCATAAAATGACTAAAACATAAAGAGAGGCCTATGGTGATAAGGATTCCACAGTCTAATGAACTGGTGATATTAATTCTTAAGTACAGTGTGATAAAAAACAAAAATCATGAGATAAGACTGTAGTGCATTCAATTAAATAAAAGAAGTCAAATCACATCAAAGAACTATTAGCTCACTATTGCTTCTTCCTTGTAGAAAAATTCTAAATGGAAAGCGTGCCTCATGGGCCATCCAGTTCACATATTCCCAATAATAATAATAATAATAATCTCACTTCTTTAATATTATCTTTGCAGAACCAACAGCTCCAGGCCCCTCCAGGTTTATAGGAAATAATCATTGATTTGGGGACAGTCTGAAAGCACATAAGAGATCTTCTGCCTCCTCAATCATTGCCAAAGCATACGGAGTCTTTCCCTGGCAATACAGATTAATTTGCATGTCATGGAAAGACATTAGAGTATTACATGCAATTGTCAAAATTATAATAAGTATCCATTTCTCAAAACCACTGACTTCTCTGCAGCTCATGTTTTACTATAGGATATCACACTAAACAGCTTCTCTTACAAGAAAGAAAACAGATAATCATCCTTTCTATCTCCCACTTAGCCTGTGCACTTGAGATTCTGTTTTGAACAGTCATGGGCTAAACTAAGATATTCTAGTACAGCTGCCAGTCAGAGAGTATGGGGATCTACACTACTATCTGGTGACCCAATTCCGATACTCCTTGGTTCTCCACTCCTCAGCCCAAGTATTTTCAGGGAACCATCCTCCTTTGTGTTCTTGCTTCTTGTTGCTACACTCACTAGCCTTTGGTTAATTTTCCAGGGTGAACCAGGGCCTCCAGGTTTCCCAGGCACAACCGGCCCTCCAGGCTTCCCGGTAAGTCTTATTTGGTTAACATTTATTCATGGGTCTGATTAGACAAAAGCTATAGCACTAGAGGGCTAACAGGAAGACCTCTTTCCATGGTTACTGTAGACAATGCTACCATCTTCATTATTACAAGGCACTGAAGGAAATGTTCTTTCTTCTTGAGCTCATGGGAACTTCATCATGGCTCTCCATGAGGCTGTGTATCTTAGTTGTCATCAGCTCAAGCGCTAACATTAAAAGAGACCTAGGCTTGACTTCTGATTTTATCAGTTTCTAGCTTTTTAAATGTTTCTTAACTTTTCTGACTGTATGTTTCTTAACCTACAAAATGGGACAATTGATAGGGGTGTGTCTGAGGAGTAAATGAGATAATACACATGAAAGGGCTTCCTACATGGCTGACACTTATCTAGTGTTCATTGAATGGGAGCTGTGAATTTTGTGGTTCTATCTTCACTTTCCCATCTGCCTTTCTAGCTTAGATTCTTTCACTCAGCAAATACTTTTGGAGGACTTCTACATGCCAGGTATTCTGGGGACTCAGAGACTGTAAGGGTAACTAAGTAAAAGTCCTTGTCCTTGAGATTACATTCTCATGGGGGAATGATAGAAAACAAACAAGTAAAGAGATGAATCAGTAACAAGTTCAGGGGGTAGGCATATAGCTCAGTTGTAGAGTGCTTGCCTAGCATGCACAAGGCCCTGTGTTCGATCCCCTGCACCACAAAGAAAACAAAAACAAGTTCATATAATGGTGATATATAAAATATAGAAGAAGGGTAAAGTGATGGAGTATGGATGAGGAACAGGTGGGCCATTCGGGACAGAGTGGTCAAGAAGGCCCTCTCTGAGGAAGCCACATGTGAGTTGAAACCTGTATGTTATGAAAGAGAAAGTCATGTAAAGAGTCAGGAAGAGATTTGGATACCAAGGTATCCACAAATGCCAAGCTCCTGAGCTTGGAAAAAGCTCAGCATTTTGGAGAAACAGCAAGGAGGTGAGTGGGCAGGATAGAGTGAGCAGGGCCAAGAAACAGGCAGAGAAGCAGGAGCCAAATCATGGCCACCTTCATTGGACAAATGTGGTTTTTATTTTAAGTGTGCTAGGAAGCCATTCAAAGGCTTTGATTTGTATTTTAAAGATCCTTCTGACTGGTGGCAGAGAGATGGGAGGGGGTGGGGCAGCAAACATAGGCTATTGTATGGTGGCTTGGAGTATGGTGATAGCAATGGAAATGGAGAGAAGTGGATGAATTCAGAAGGTAAGCACACTACACTTTTGATTATGGAACATTTTAAACAGATTCAAAAACACAGAGAGTGGCATAATAACCCCCCTGTGTACCCATCACACTTCTTCAACAATTAGCAACACATAGCCAATCTGAAGCAAAAATAGACATATCATTTCATCATAAATACCTCAGTGTTTCTCAAATATATGGAATTTTAATATAGTGGTGTGTCAGTAATTACTCAATATCAGTTAACAAGGCAGAAATCAAATTTGATTGTCTCAGAAAATATATATTGTTTGAATGAAGATAGAAACAAGACTAATACATTACATTTAGTTAATGTGTCTTAAATCACAGGGTGTGTTTTGAAGGAGAAACTGACAAGATTTTCATGGATTGGGAGTAGGGCTCAGGAGGAAAGTGGATGAATCAAAGATGACAAGGCCTGCCCTGCTTAATGGCACAATGGGAATATAGATGGCTCTAGTTCTTCCCTACAGTACTTTGAAATACTTTAGGTCTCTCTGAGTGGCTAGAAAGCAGAGCCAGGAGAGCCAGTGGCCCAGGTTGATTCCATGAGGATTTCTATTATGCCATAGAAACAAAGGACATAGAGAATCATTTGTTCAGTGTCCTTGATCTTAATCAGCCCTGTAGCTAGTGAATCAGAAAGAAAGAGAGTGCTGGTGTGGGAAGCAGAAAACCCAAACCTTAGACCCAGCTACAGCTCTATTTGCTGGACCTTAGACGTTCAGCAAATCTCTGAACCTCTCTGTATATATGCAGTTTGGCAGTGGTCATAACTACTCCTTTGAGGCCCAAATCACAGTGTATAAGAGGTTTCTTTGCAAAGTATAAAGCTGTGTTGTTCAATAAGATTACCAGGAGCTGCATATGACTACAGAGCTCTTAAAATGCGGTTGATGTGAAATGAGATGTACAGTAAGTATAAAACACACTCTAGATCTGAAAATCTTAGGATAAAAAAAATAACCTAAAATTTCTCAGGAACAATTTTTACTTCAATGTAAAATGACAATATTTATTATATATTTGGGTAAATAAAATATATCACTAAATTAATCTCTATTTCAGTTTTTAATGTGGCTACTAGGAAGTTTTGAAAATAACATAGTAGGCCCACATTATATTTTTATTGGACAGCACTTTGCAAGTGGATTTGGGAATAAGGTTTGTATCTTTCTTTGTAAAGAGGTTTATATAGATTCAAGACACCTTGCATTATTCCTATGAGGTAAGCAAATTGAGCCTAGGCTTGTCCCTCTTGTCCTGGCAAGGAACCTCGGCCTGAACAGATGAAGAGGCTTGTCCAGAGTCACACAGCTAGTTATTCACAGAGCTGAGATCCACATTCAGCTTTGTTGAAATCATAGCCACTTCAGGCCCTTTCCCCCATACCATACTGCCCCCTGCAGTCCAGTTTGATATAGTCACCTGGCTGTGGTATTTTGGTCTCTAAATCTCTAACAAAGGACTTAATGACTGCCTCTGGTGCTGTCGAATTCACTAGTACATGCTCCCTCCCCTTTTCTTCAGTTCAACCTCAAAGGACTTCCTCTGCTACAATTCAACTTGTTCCCTTTCCTCCCTTTCCTCTTGTAAAAGCAAAAGAGACTGACTAACAACAACACACAGTGATAAGTTGCAACACCGTTTCAAGCTCTGTTTTCAGTGTTTCACAGTGTGGGCTGAAATATAGAAACCCCAGTTGTAAAGACATCAAAGTGGGAAAATACCTCCTTTTATAAGGAATGGCATATTTTCATAGGGTGGAAACCAAGAAACCAGGGTTCTCAGCCCACCTCAGAACAGATTAGATGTGTGACCCTGGCCAAATCATGTAACTCCTTCGCTCTTAATATCTCTATCTACTTATGGGAACATTAATGGGTACCTTATGTGCCTGGCAGAAAAATTATGAGGAGAAAGGTGGTAACATATTTGAGGTATTGTGGGCTTTTCAGAAGAAACACATTTCTCAAACCCAAAACCCTCACATCGGCTTTCAATTATCCATACTCACTGAAAAACAAGGCAGTGCTGAGATTGGAAATCTCTAGGGAATGTAAAATGGTCTCTTTAACCATTTATTTCCTTCCCCTCTGAGCCCAAATCTTTGTAGGAGACAAAGTGCCCAATCTAACAGCTTTATGCTGCACATTTTTTTCTCCTGCCCCCTCTACAGTGACCAAATATCCCTGATTTCTGGCTGTCACAGCTTCACACATTCCACCTCATTGTCCTCAGCAGCATGCCCAACAATTATAGGCTACAGGTCATCCCATGAAGCGTGTCAGAGAGCAGTATATACCCATGTCCAAGGGACCAGGATATACAGAAGGAGGCAAAATGAAAGAGATTGAGTGGAGGAAGTAGAGAAGAAAATGGCAAATCCTGGGGTATTATTGAGTGAATCTGAGGTAACTACTGAGTGGGTAGAATTCTCTTTCAATTGAGTCTCCCTAGAACCAAAAAGCAGCAGGAGCCCAGAGCCTAGGAGAGCAAGCCTAGAAAGAACTAAGCTAGTGCCCTAAAGAGGCTTTCCAGGCCATGGTGAGTAGGAGGGTGGGAGTAGCCATTGCAGGACTACTCACACTGAGAGCCAACTGTTACGGGCCAGGTCCCAGGACATCTTGCTAGAACAGCTTGTTCAGCAGGGTCCCTGTACAAAGCCTCTCTGCCCTGGGAGACATGCTGAGCCTACAGCAATGTCTTGCCAACCCATTTATCTTTTATTGGCTCTAATCCACACACACACTTCTTTCTCTTTTTTTCTTCTTACTTTTTTCATTTATTTATTTTTGTTCACACTGTAGCTTGAGCTCCCAGGCCCTCTCTCTGAGAAAGCAAGCATCCAGAAGCTCTCTATGCTTTCTGAAGGAGTACAGGCCTCCTTTTATTTACACCCATGGGCAAGAAAGGTGGGGTGGGGGCATGAGACAGTTCCTGGACATTCTTTCCTTTACCCTTTGCCACACTTCTGTTCTCTGGGCCATTATTCCATTCACCCCAACAAGATTTACTGGACCACCTTGTTGCATTCGGGCAGTGATAATGGTAATGTGCCTTGGAGGGAAACAAAAGAGAGTGCAGGATAGGCCTTCTGCTTAGGAAATTTTCACATATAGCCAATCTTAGTACTTTAAGAATCTGGGGCACCACCAGCTGTCATAACATTCATGGATAGGTCAGGGAAGACTACCTGAAATGTTCATCCTCAGAAGCCAATAGACTGATTCCACCAGGTGGCAGCAGGCCTTGGTTTCCAATTTGAAATGTAGAAGGAAAAACTAAGATTTTGAATAAGTTTGCATTCAGTATGTTCCATAGTCCTTTCAAGTTAGAAATCCTATTTGGCATGAGAGCTGAGCTATTTGACAGAGAACTATAGAGGTAGAAAAGAAAAAGGCATGTAGGAACCAAATTCTTCTTTGAATTGAACTCTTCACAGACACATACCCTCCCTATAGTAAAAACAAAAAAGGAGCAGAAAAACCCACATTAAAAAAAAAAAGCAAAACCTTGGGCCTAGAAAGCCATGGAGGTATTCAGCCAACTTTCAACACTCATGGGAATGCACTGAGTATGTAACAGGAAAAAAAGGCTACAAATGAATTGGAGACGTACCCTCATACCAGCTGAGCCAAGTCACATCAAGGAGGATAGGAAATATGTCACAACAACAGTTAATGTCTTTTCACAAGCTTACATTTGAGTCCACTTCACTGCCTTCTTTACTCTCACAATACACCAGATGTTGTTTGCCAAAAACTATTCTCTAAAATGTTCAATTGTAAACAATAACAAATGCCCTCAGTTCAGTTTTTCATGAAAGATTTTATTCACTTTGGCAAGGAACTCTTTTGTATTGGGAGTGAGGGAAGTTGCCTTGGATCCAGAGGGAAGAAAGCGCTCTCTTCACTCACTCTGTTTCTTGGATTTCTTGCTTGTCCCTAAACAAGGTTGTTGCAGTCACCATGTCTCCAAAGGGAAAAACTCTTACCTCTAGTATCAACCTCCAAAGATTTACACAATCCTCTATTTGTTGGTCAGAGTCAAGTTCCTTAGATGGTAGAATACAGCCTGGAACAGAAGTCAGAAGACATGGCTTTCATCTTCTGGATGTTACTTTCCTGTCTGTAAAATCAATGAGGGAGATTAGAGATTTTACTATCCTGTGTTGTTAGCTCATGATGTTATAAATACAAGTAATAGTGTTTTAGAGGAAAGAGATTACTTCTACAACCAAAAAGGAATATTGGATGAATGGTCCAAATTGTATTTAGGCTCTATGGCTTTTCAGGCCTTTGACAAGAGCCCAACATAAGGAGCCTCCCTAATGGTCAGTGGAGCTGGTCTGAAATTACCTGCTTGCTTTGATTGACGCCAGGAAGCTAATGAGAAAATGAATGTTATGATTCATGTTTTTTTTTCTTCTTCAGGAATTTGGATTTGTTGGAGAAAAGGGAGAAAAGGGAATCCTTGGTTTGCCAGGACCAAGGGTATGAACCTAGAATGTTGTTTGCCTGGATCTGTTAAGTCACCCCGTCCACTTTCTTTCCTGTTTGTTCCTTTATGTTATGTAACTTGATGACCTCCTAAACTCTTATTTCTCTTCCTCTAACCTCTGGCTAGCAACTCCTCTTCACTTCTCCTCCATTCCCTTGACTGGGTGGCTCCCCTGTATAAGGAATGGTGTTTCCCCTACTCTAGTTGACTCCTTGGCCTAGTACTCTCCTTGCCCTTGTGTATACCATAGCAAGTGATGTTTATAGTCAACAGTTTCAAATAATAATCTCATTTTGAATGGAGAAATAGCTATTAGGCTCTCTGATTCTTAGCTTCAGTTACTTAGCTTTTGAACTATAAGCAGTTGGCCAACCTTAGCCTTAGAGAAGTAATATTTTAGAGAATTGTGGTTTTAGCTTATCCATAAAGTTTGCTAAGAGTCCTTTTGAGTATTTAACAAAACTGATTCATAACCCTGCCATTTCTTTCTCTACTTTTCCCTCTCCTTTGTCTTGAAAACACATAATTACCAACAAAATGTATTTGGGATGGAAGAAAATAGGCCCACCCATAATCTATTTTAAAATCCTCTAATTTGGAACTAAAGCAGACTAACTATAATACCACCCATACCTTCTACCAAATTCCACCTACTACTTAAAATGTTTCCATTTATTTAGCTATTAAAAATGCTCCATGTGGCTATTCAGCCTGATAAATTAGTGCTTAGAAAGAAATCAGTAAGCCAGGTCTAGGAACATTCTCTTACCTGACTTTGGGAGTCACCAAATCCTGAACTCAGTTGGATAGCTTTGTTATGTAAGACTAGCAGCTTTTTGTAGTGTGGGCTATTAGTCTCTCTAAGGTATGGCTATTCTCTTTACAGGGACCCATTGGTTCAGAAGGAGTACAAGGCCCTCCAGGGAAACAGGTATTTTGGTTAATATCAGGAAAGCCTTTGTGTATAAAATCCTAATCAGAAGAACCCTTGACTTAACAGGGCCAAACAGACGTTGTTTACAATGCAAATTGTCTACCTCCCTTCAATAAGACGATCTTGTAATCTTAGCTACTCTCTTCTTTTGCTTTCACCCAAGAGGATGAAAACATCCAGAGTCATGTTTGACGCCTTCCATGCCATGATATTACCAAGAACTAGCAAGGCCAGCCTGCTTGTATCCATACTCTCATGACCATTTTACATCCTACTATTCAAGTTGACTACTTAGTGCCATATTGCCATCCAGAAGACTTTATAGCTTCCAGATTCAACTAGAAGCCTTACATACCCTGAATGCCAGCAAGATCCCTGGGCTGTTTGCCCTGGCCTAATACAAAGACCAACCCCCCTTACATACTTGTATTTTGAAGTTGGTGGTAACTATGTTTCTGTCACAGGGCAAGAAGGGGTCCTCAGGTTTTCCTGGGCTTAATGGATTCCCAGGAGTGAAGGTAATATTATTGGGAAGTGCAAAACCAAGGTTTGGGAAGTGGAAATGTGAAGGATTACTATAAATGCCTACATACAAAATAAGGTATTTTTAGTATTTTGATGTTTAAGATGACACTTTTTTCTCAAGAAATGAATGCAACTGACTTTGAACACACAAAGATGATGAATGTTCCTCAGATAGTACCAACTTTTAGGCTTTATTATTGTTTTTAAATTTTCTGTAGGCAGTGCAGCCCCTTATTGCCTGCACCTGGGGCAGACAGCTCCTATCACCCACTCAAGGTAGCTGAGTCCCTCTTTTGGATGACTTAAAACTCTTGACTTCATCTGTCTGACATCATCACTCTCAAGGGTAGTGACAATAGCACAGCCTCATCCATACTGAGAGTAGGAAAAAGATGAAATTCTGCTCCCTTCTTAGCACCTCTTGGGTGTGGCTAGTTGTTTACATCTGTGAAATATTTACCAGGCCCAGAAACAGAATGTTCTGAAGTAGTATTGCAAAATAAAACTGGAATCCGTGTCTTTAACAACTTTGCGATTGAGTTGCGGCCCTCTGGCCTGCTTTGTTTTGCCTTCATCTTAAACTTATTGGACTTGAAAATTAACCTCTGAACTAGATGACCCTCAAAATCAGAAGTCACAGAAGAAGAAACTTTTCATTTTCCTGAGTTTTGGCTTTGAAGACACACTGATAGTGGGTGATGAGGTCACAGAAATATTTGTACTCAATGTATTTAATCTTTGCAGGGTGAAAAGGGTAGCATTGGCTTGCCAGGCCCAGACATTTTCACGGATGCCGATGGTGCTGTGATCTCAGGTGTGACTCTCCATTGATTTGACTAGAACAGAAAAGAAAGAGTTAAATTCTATGTCCCCCAAAACTGTTAAAAGGATACTTTGTTAACCACAGGATTGCTGACACTACAAAGAGCCCCACATGGGGCCCAAGCTAATTCCAATCTCTTGGACAGAAAAGCCAGGCCCAACCCTCCATTTTTTGTTGGGTCCACCAAGACTGGAATATGGGTCTTCCTAGGTCTGAATTTGGTAAAAAAAAAAAAAAAAAGTGGTTCTCCTGATGATGCTTAGGGAAGGATTGATGTCCTCCCCAGCTGGGATGGCTTCAGTGCAATACCATGGGACACTAAGTCACTCATATAGATGATCCCATCTATGATTGAGCTTTCTGATTTCAGAGAAGTGGAAAAGTATCTAGGTCTAAGGGAGGTAGTAGTTAAGCGCCTTCAATGGTATGATTTAGAAAAGTTGTCCTCATCTGTCTTTGTCCTAGTTACTGTATGTGCTCTACCCTTCTCTTTGCCTTTCCCAAAAATCCCAGTGTCAAGGCTCCCCAGCTACTTCTTGTTTGACTAAAGGTTTCCACTATAGTGCCTCTTCAACCTGGGTTTCCTAACTTACTATTAGCCTCTCAACCCTCTACGCCCACTCTGATATTTGTAGTCAACAGTGGCTTCCTATGTTCTACTCCCAGAAAGACTGCATATAACATAAATAGTGGACTTCAATATCTTAACCAGAATAGTGGTAATTTAGGGCATTACAGGAGATTAGTATCAGCAGAACAACCTTCCTAGTTCTTACCAGATCTTACGAAAGAAAATCCTAGCCATACCAATTTCTAATCACTAGTGGAAGCTGGGCATTGTTTATGCCTGTAATTCAAGCACTCAGGAGGTAGAGGAAGGAGGATTGCAAGTTCAAGGCTGACCTGGGCTCCATAGCAAGACCCTGTCTCAAAAAATAAATAAATAAACGTTAGTAGAGCCTTAGCTCTAGTAGACCCATTATCACACGAGGCCATTAGCATCTGGTAGACTTGAGAACTGAAACCAAAGGACTTCCATCCCCAGGACAGATCCCTACATCTCTCCTTGGGCATTTTGTGGTGCTTTTGAGCCTCCACTGTCTTTGTTTACAGCTTTTTTCATTGCAATGCCAGGTTATCCAGGAGATACCGGTGTGCCAGGCCTCCCAGGCCTTAGAGGAGATAATGGCTTCCAGGGCCAGCCTGGGCCTTCTGGTATTCCTGGCCTGCCAGCCTTGACAGGTAAAACACTAACCCCTCCTCTCCACAGATCAGTCTTTTTTGTTCCTAGTATCTCCTTCCATACCTCTGGGTGCAGGAATACACCTAGCAGAGAGCAAAAGAAAGATAAAATGTAGTCAGTAGGTTTGCTCACTGCCAGCCCAAGGCTAATGGATGTGAGAATAGTACATAGGTGAGCAACCGTCCTTTGATTTAAATGTGCTGTATATAACTGGACAGCCAATCCCAGACTGTTATTGAGGTTTGTAGCGACCAGAGGCCTGGATTGGGCAGCTAGAGCCCTGTCACACTTCTGCGGATATGCCATTCCAATTGATGCTTGCCAACAGGGTCTAACAAAAGCCCAGAGGAAATTTTGTACCCAGACCCTCACTGTAGGCTTAAGTCAGGCACTGAATTGACCCAGAATCCTATGAGTTATATCCTTGACTGAATTATGAGAGGGGCAAGCCCATATGTTCTTCTATAGTGGCAAGTAAAAAAGAGCATGTCACAGTCTTGGAAGTGGGGCTACCCCAAATAGAAATCCTGAGAAATGACTGTTAAAGTCACCAGTTTCTAAATCCTTTGGAGAGAGTCTTCTGTATTTGTGCTTTTAAAACAGCCACTTGGAGGAAGTTCCACAGGGCCCAGCACCAAAGTGGAAAAAATGGAGAAGTCAGAGGCTAGAGACTCAGGTTTTCTTCACACATTTGCCACTAAGAAACTGTGCTCCTGCTCATGTTTCCTAAGAGGTTAGGCTAATTGATCCATAAAGACTTTTCTAACTTTGATGCAAGAGAAGGGCAAATGCTTTCCCAACTCCTTCCCTTGGATTGTTTATCACATATACCACTGATTAGTACTCCTGAGTAGGTGATATAATAAGTATTTCTGTGTGGCTTACCTTCCAGGTATACCAGGTGCTCCAGGGCCTCAGGGATTTCCAGGCCTGAAGGGAGACCACGGGAACCCAGGCCGCACAACAGTCGGGTCAGCAGGCCTTCCTGGCAGAATTGGTTTGCCAGGCTTACCAGGTCCAGCAGGTCCACCTGGTAAGTTATTCATTTCTGTCTTTGATCTTGAAATCCAGGTATGGTCCAAACTGAAGAATAGTCATGATTTTTGAGGAAGCATCTCACGGGTGAAACAACTAAGCCAAGACACATAGCTGCTTAGGGACAGCAATGAAGGCTCCATCCTCTCTATGTCAGCCCCATCTCTACTGGTATCAACTCTAGTAGAGTGTGCTTCAACAAGCAACAAGCCAACTAGCACCATGGTGACAATATATCCATTAGCCTTCCATCCTTCACTGTTTCAGCCCGTAGGCCGCTGACTTCAGCTCCTGAAGAAGCAGCATTGCTTCTTTTGAGCTTCCCCTAGTCCACAGGGCTCCAATTACATGGGCTGAGAGTCTGAGAAAGGAGAATCCAAAGCCAGATCCTCAAGGTGGCTACTAAACACCTACACAGGGGAGGCTAGGGGTGTACCTCAGTGATATAGCATTGCCTGGCATGTGCAAGGCCCTGAGTTCCCTCCAAGCACTAGATAAATAAACATAAATAAGTAATAAATAAATAGCCTGCACAGGGCCTGTTCTCCTTGGATCATATACCTGAGTTTAGGATTATACATTGTGAGAGAAAGACTGTTTCTTTGTGCACAAAATCCCCTGACCACTACAGTTTGCACTTGTTTCCACTTTTGCCTTAAGGGAGCTTTCTAGGAGAGAGATTGGGACTGCTGAGTTATTAAAGCTACTTTTTTCATCCCTGAACAGTGCCTGGAATGTAGCAGACATTCTGTAAGTGTTAGTACAGTGAATTGTACCAACCAAGAGTTCTTGCAGCAGACTTGGGAGTCCCTGTCTTGGATATTTTTGTCCCTACTCCGCTTTTCAAGCTTCAAGGACTCGGGCCTTAGCTATTAAGCTGCTGTGCTGAGCCAGATAAGTCCTTAGCCTTTATCAGTGGCCAGTCTTTTATGTTTCTTTTTCCTCCAGGCCCGGCATTCGAGACTGGAACTCTGCATGGTGTTGAGCCAGAGTTTCCTGGTCTTCCAGGAGAACAAGGTCAGAAAGGAAAGCCAGGCCTCAAAGGAACAAAAGGTGATTTTGCCCTCCTTGAATTTCTTTGTCCCCTACTCTCATGACTTGCATGAGCTCATCCTAGAAACCTAATTGGAAGTAACGGGAGATTAAGAAAAGACAAAAGACAAACATGCAGAAACCTGGGGTCAGGTGAGCTGGGCGCTCTGATGGAGGAGACACACAACAGTCTCCAGCGAGTTTATTATATACAGCAGCAAACAAAGTAAAGAAACAGTTCTGGGGGAGGGGTGACATTGTAGTTATTGGGAACAGCAGGAACCTATGATCGCTACTCTGTGGATGTGAACATATTAGGAAAAGCAGCCATGCTGCATTTTGCCCTCACCCCCTTCTGCAGCTGGGGGCTGTGCCAACCCAGCCTGCAGACATGGCTGTGCTTATGTCAAGTTCTCATAGGCTTCTCATACTCCACTCCCCACACCCTACACTCCTTAGAGAAGGCTTTATGGGGAATGAGCAAAGCTTAGGAACCTGAATAGAAGCAATCCAGGCTCTTAACAGGAGCTCTGGTTATAGGATTGTTGAAAGTGCTATCATTAGGGCTCTAAGACAGACTGACAATTTAGGTCACACAGAACAAAGCAACTTCCTATTCCTACCACCTACAGAAATTGTTGGCAGAAACCCAGGATGCTAACCAGTTCAACCCCTCCATTTGCAAGGTCAAGGCTGGATACCACTTGCTATTTCCTTCAGACTTAAGGAGTCTGAACAGGTCAATATCTGAGACACTGAAAAAGCCAACTGGCTTGAGGAAAACAAGTGAAGTCCCCAGTGAGGCTGATGAACTAATCAATGAACTTAGCCTTCAACCACACTGCTTCTCTCCATCTTCTTGTTGTATTTGCATCATTTCCACATTCCTTTCCCTAAGGTGAAGATGCTCTAAATTGTCGATTCTTTGTGGTTACGGCCCAGGCTAGAGTGGGGGAAAGCTGAACTTACTGACTGAAGAGAGGTTTAGGTTTGGCCTAGGGATTTCAGAGATCTGAGATCTCACTTTCTGTCTCCAAAAATTAACAGTTCTCCTAAGTCTCAAACAGACAAGTTCAAACTTAACTCCTCTGCTTTCTTATTGCCCTATCATAAGATATCTCTGCCTAAATATAGGAGCAGTGATCTGTTTCAGAGTCTCAGGCTTTGACCTAGTTCAGAAATTTCATACATCTTGATCCTTGCAATTCAGATCAAAGGAAGACTGTTTGAGGGAAAAAGACATTAAATTGCAAGTCTGGACTTAGGACGTTAATTTTGGCCCTTCCCTGATTTCACTACAGAGATGGTATATTTCTCAATACCATTCTCAATCCTAAAACAGGAACAACTAGTAGACTACTCTTTCTGTATTTCCATAGTGTCAAAAGGTTTTCTCTAAGACTAGAATAGTGACAGTGACTCTCAAGCTTCATTGTACATGAGAACCTCCTAGGGAAAGCTATTAAAAATAGTCTTTTGTCTGTCCTCCTGAATGATTAGTACTGGGATGAAGTCCAGCAACCTGCCTTATAAATACATGTCACAGGTGACTCATGTGGGTAGTCTCAGATCATACTTGACAAATACAGGTTGAGTATTCCTTATCCAAAATGCTTTAGACTAAAGGTATTTCGGATTTTATATTCTTTGGATTTTGGAATATTTGTATTGACCTTTCCAGTTAAGCATCTCTAATCTGAAAATTCAAAATCCAAAATGTTTCAGATTTCAGATCATTTAAGCTCAATCTGTACTAATCTTAACAACAGTCTGTTTTCTCAATTTCCAAGACTATCAATTTTCTAAATGCAAGAAGAGGTCCTCTGGAATCTTAGGGAAATTTACAGCCACCAATTCTCATTCTCCAGACTGTATGCATGAAAACAGTATGGGTTGATGGGCTAGGTACTAGTGACTCCCTGATACTTCTTCTAAGGCGCTTGGCTGAAATCCCATTCATCAATCTATTTGACATTTGTCTCTTGTGTACATGTGAACAAAAGAGGGAGAAGACATTTTGGTGTAGAGAATCTTTGGGTGGCTTGGATTCCAGGCTCTCAGTTGTTTAAATATAGGTTTAAATTCTCAACTCTGGCTGCACGTTAGACTTATGGATAGCTGAGCCTCATCCCAGACCAGTGAAATCCAAATCCTTACCATAGACACGCTCCAATGGACAGGAAACCTAGCTCGTTTGAGTTTCTGTACACCACTTGATTCCCTCCAAGGGAAGTCTTTCGAGCCACAGATAGCCACTATCAGGTCTTTCTTCATAAAAAGAGGGTCTACTTTGTGTGATATTGTCTGTTTTACCCCCAGGGGACCCTGGATTTTGTGCTTGTGATGGTGGTGTTCCCAACAACGGACCACCTGGGAAACCAGGCTTGCCTGGGCCACAAGGTATCATTGGCCTTCCAGGCATTAAAGGAACCAGAGGAGATCCAGGCTCTGCCGGTGCACAAGGCCCAGCAGGGGCTCCAGTAAGTCTTGCCTAACTTTGCCCCTGAGGGAGCAATGGAAGCTTTCAAATGCGACCCCCACACACACCAACTCCCTGCCAATCATGTTACTAAAGCACATGAAACAAAGATCGGGATAAAACAAAGCTTGGGGTTTTGATCTGAAACATGAAGAAGTCTAACTAGATCATCTGTAAAGTCTCTTTCTGCTTTAACCAACCTATGTTCCCCACTCCCTACCACAAAATTGTTTACACTTGTCTACCACTGTGTTGGGTCCCAAAGATAAAATAGGAATTAAGATGAGGTTTTGATCTTCAAAGATTTCAAAGTTTGGAAAGTATATGGAAAACAGGAAATTATTATGCAAGACAACAACATAATCAAGAGTCCAGAACTGTGCCAAAATGAACCCAAGGACATAATTTAGGTCATACCTTTACTAAGTGCCAAAATTCTTTGAGTCTGCATCTCCTGATTATTCCCTTGTGTCTCCTTGTCAGGGTTTATTTGGGCCTCCTGGTCGTGTCGGCCCCAAAGGAAGGAAGGGTGAACCAACTGTCCATAGAGGATCAGGGATGCCAGGAGAGAAGGGTGATCCTGGCCCTGAGGGATTCCCTGGTATAACAGGAGCCCCAGGCAAGGATGGAGTACCAGGTTTACCAGGCTTTCCAGGCCTTCAGGTAAGTTGATCATTCTTGGATGATTAGCTCTATCATCCCTCAAACCTGACTTGGGGAAGGTCTGATGGCCACTGGACCATAAGACATGGCAGAACAGAAAGTGTCTGGAGCATCTTGCCCTGCCTCTTTCTCTGCCACTGACACTTTGGCTCCATATTTTTCTTTTCTCTAAAGTAGGAATCTTTTTCTAGGAATGGTCTGTCTCACTTGATAGATGCTATTAACAATGGACCATATCACTTTAAAATGCTTCAATTTCTCAATGGCCTGCCCTTTCAAGTAGTCCAGCTGCTTTCTGTGACCTCAACGGTCGTTGGTATCCTACTTGTTTCCTGCCCTCTCCCCACCAAACCTAATCTAAAACCTTTTATAGTATCAGATCACCCAGAGTTGGCAAATCTCATTCCTGCTAGCAAAACTCACAGAAGGTTGATTGCTAAACTAGAGTGACAGAGAATTTTCTCTAAACATAAAGCACTGAAAACACTGACTCCCTCTTTCTTATGGTCAGAGAATTCTCCAGATAAATCTCTGAGATTGATTTTCGTTATGTTTTTAATTGTTGTCTAGGGAGATGGTGGACGTGGCTTTCCAGGTGAAAAGGGGTCACCAGGACTTCCTGGTGAAAATGGCCAGCAGGGTCCAACTGGCCTCCCAGGAATTGGACTGCCAGGACTTCCTGGACCTCGTGGGCTCCCTGGAGATAAAGGCATAGATGGATTACCAGGGCAACAAGGCCTTCGTGGACCTCAAGGTGAGTTTTACAATCAAATACCTTTGGACTTAAAAAATTTACCCCTTGTAGAATAGTAATGACTAAGGTGCCTGAAATGTGTCATAAAGTGAGAGTTGGCTGGCCATAGTCACTACTTTCAATCCTCTTAAGGGATTTCAAGTGGGAAAAGGATCATAATTGTATTGTGGTAAGCATAGAAGGTGAAACAGCTCTGCTTAGTGAAGAACTTCCTAACAGAGAAGTCTGAAAATGTCATTGACCTGCCTACAGAAGTTATGAGCTCATAATCCCTGGATAAATTCAAGGAGAAGGTGAATAACCATTTGTTGCAAATGTCATCGAAGTAATCAGTGGGGAAGTAGATAAGCTATTCTCTAAACTGTATAGTAATATCATCAACAGGGAAGAACTTTTCCTCACTTAATGAAATCTCGACTTTAACAGAGATGCTAGTTGCATCTAATCTACCTTAATTCCCTTTCATAGAATTTCTTTTCTTTTTTTTTTTTTATTATTCATATGTGCATACAAGGCTTGGGTCATTTCTACCCCCTGCCCCCACCCCCTCCCTTACCTCCCACCCCCCCTCCCTCTTCCCCCCCCCCTCAATACCAGCAGAAACTATTTTGCCCTTATTTCTAATTTTGTTGTAGAGAGATATAAGCCAATAATAGGAAGGAACAAGGTTTTGCTGGTTGAGATAAGGATAGCTATACAGGGAGTTGACTCACATTGATTTCCTGTGCGTGTGTGTGTGTTCTAGGTTAATTCTTTTTGATCTAACTTTTCTCTAGTTCCTGGTCCCCTTTTCCTATTGGCCTCAGTTGCTTTTAAGGTATCTGCTTTAGTTTCTTCTGTTAAGGGCAACAAATGCTAGCTATTTTTTAGGGTCTTACCTATCCTCACCCCTCCTTGTGTGCTCTCGCTTTTATCATGTGCTCAAGTCCAATCCCCTTGTTGTGTTTTGCCCTTGATCTAATGTCCACATATGAGGAGAACATACGATTTTTGGTCTTTTGGGCCAGGCTAACCTCACTCAGAATGATGTTCTTCCAATTCCATCCATTTACCAGCGAATGATAACATTTCGTTCTTCTTCATGGCTGCATAAAATTCCATTGTGTATAGATACCACATTTTCTTAATCCATTCGTCAGTGGGGCATCTTGGCTGTTTCCATAACTTGGCTATTGTGAATAGTGCCGCAATAAACATGGGTGTGCAGGTGCCTCTGGAGTAACCTGTGTCACAGTCTTTGGTATATCCCAAGAGTGGTATTGCTGATCAAATGGTAGATCGATGTCTAGCTTTTTAAGTAGCCTCCAAATTTTTTTCCAGAGTGTTGTACTAGTTACATTCCCACCAACAGTGTAAGAGGGTTCCTTTTTCCCCGCATCCTCGCCAACACCTGTTGGTGGTGTTGCTGATGGCTATTCTAACAGGGTGAGGTGGAATCTTAGTGTGGTTTTAATTTGCATTTCCTTTATTGCTAGAGATGGTGAGCATTTTTCATGTGTTTTTGGCCATTTGAATTTCTTCTTTTGAGAAAGTTCTGTTTAGTTCACTTGCCCATTTCTTTATTGGTTCATTATTTTGGGAGAATTTAGTTTTTTTAGTTCCCTATATTTCTGGTTATCAGTCCTTGTCTGATGTATAGCTGGCAAATATTTTCTCCCACTCTGTGGTGTTCTCTTCAGTTTAGAGACCATTTCTTTTGATGAACAGAAGCTTTTTAAGTTTATGAAGTCCCATTTATCTATGCTATCTCTTAGTTGCTGTGCTGCTGGGTCATTGAGAAAGTTCACCTATACCTACTAACTCCAGAGTATTTCCTACTCTTCTGTATCAACTTAGAGTTTGGGGTCTGATATTAAGATCCTTGATCCATTTTGAGTTAATCTTGGTATAGGGTGATATACATGGATCTGTTTTCAGTTTTTGCAGACTGCTAACCAGTTTTCCAGCAGTTTTGTTGAAGAGGCCTGCTATTCTCCATCTATATTTTTAGCTCCTTTGTCAAAGAAAATTGTTATAGTTGTGTGGCTTCATATCTGGGTCCTCTATTCTGTTCCACTGGTCTTCATGTCTGTTTTTGTGCCAGTACCATGCTGTTTTTTTATTGCTTTTGTAATATAGTTTGAAGTCAGGTATTGTGATACCTCCTGCATTGTTTCTTTTGACTGAGTATTGCCTTGGCTATTCGTGGCCTCTTGTGTTTCCATATAAATTAACAGTAGATTTTTTCAATCTCTTTAATGAATGTCATTGGAATTTTGATGGGAATTGCATTAAACATGTAGATTACTTTTGGAGTATCGACATTTTTACTATGTTGATTCTACCAATCCATGAGCATGGGAGATCTCTCCACTTTCTATAGTCTTCCTCAATTCTTTCTTCAGAAGTGTATAGTTTTCCTTGTAGAGGTCTTTCACATCTTTTGTTAGGTTTACACTAGGTATTTGATTTTTTTGAGGCTATTGTAAATGAATTGTTTTCATACATTCTTTTTCAGTTTCTTTTTAGTGTATAGAAATGCTAATGATTTTTCTATGTTGATTTTATATCCTGCTACCTTGCTATAGCTATTGATGATGTCTAGAAGCTTCTGAGTAGAGTTTTTTGGGTCTTTAAGGTATAGGATCATGTCATCTGCAAATAGGGATATTTTGACAGTTTCTTTACCTATTTGTATTCCTTTATTCCTTCTTCTTGCCTAATTGCTCTGGCTAGGAATTCCAGTACTATGTTGAATAGGAGTGGAGATAGTGGGCATCCTTGTCTGGTTCCTGTTTAGAGGAATGTTTCAGTTTTTCCATTAAGTATATGCTGCTGTAGGTTTCATATATAGCTTTTATAATGTTGATACTTTCCTTCTATTCCTAGTTTCTTAGAGCTTTTATCATGAATGATGTGGATCTTATCAAGGCTTTTTCTGCATCTATTGAGATGATCAAGTGGTTTTTGTCTTTTGCTTCTGTTAATGTGGTTTATTACGTTTATTGATTTTTCGTATGTTGAACCACCCCTGCATCCCTGGATGAAGCCTACTTGGTCGTGGTGAATAATCTTTTGATGTGTTGTTGAATTCGGTTTGCATTATTTTTGTTGAATTTTTGCATCAATGTTCATTAAGGAGATTGGCCTATAGTTCTCCTTGGAGCATCCAATGTTCATTAAGGGAGATTGGCCTTTATTAGTTCTCCTTTGTGGAGGTGTCTTTGCCTGTTTTGGATAATGTAATACTAGGGCTTCATAAAATGTGTTTGGCAGTTTTCCTTCCCTTTCTATTTCATGGAACAGTTTAAGGAGGTTGGTATCAGTTCTTCTTTAAAGGTCTGATAGAATTCAGCAGAGAATCCATCAGGTCCTGGACTTTTCTTTTTGGGGAGACTCTTGATTGCTGCTTCAATTTCATTTTGTGTTATAGGATCTATTCAGGTGATTAATTTCCTCTTGGTTCAGTTTTGATGATCATATGTATCTAGAAATCTGTCCATTTCTTTAAGATTTTAATTTATTTGAATATAGGTTCTCAAAGTAGTCTCTGATGATTTCCTGGACTTCCATGGAGTTTGTTGTTATCTCCCCTTTTGCATTCCTAATTCTACTAATTTGGGTTTTTTCTCTCCTCATTTTAGTCAGGTTTGCCAGGGGTCTATCGATTTTGTTTATTTTTTCAAAGAACCAACTTTTTGTTTCATTAATTCTTTTATTTTTTTTTTTGGTTTGTATTTCATTGATTTCAGCTCTTATTTTTATTATTTCTCTCCTTCTATTTGTTTTGGGATTTGCTTGTTCTTGTTTTTCTAGGAGTTTGAGATGTATCATTAGTTCATTGATTTGGGATCTTTCAGTCTTTTTAATATATGCACTCATGGCTATAAACTTTCCTCTCAGGACTGCCTTAGCTGTGTCCCATAGGTTCCGGTAGGTTGTGTTTTCATTTTCATTGACTTCCAGGAACTTTTTAATTTCCTCTTTTATTTCATCGATGATCCATTGTTCATTAAGTAATGAGTTATTTATTTTCCAGCTGTTTGCATGGTTTTTGTCTTTACTTTTGTTGAGTTCTACTTTTATTGCATTGTGATCAGATAGTATGCACGGTATAATTTCTATTTTCTTATAATTGCTGAGACTTGCTTTGTGCCTAGGATATGATCTATTTTGGAGAAGGTTCCATGGGCTGCTGAGAAGAATGTATA